GCAGCTAGTGAGGTAGGGTGCTATGTTTTTGTGTTTGTGAACACAAAGAGAGAGTTTGAGTAACTTTGTTGATGGTGCTGTAAGCAGGGGTCAGCTGATGACCGGCTATACATGTGGTTAAACTATTACTCAAAGCATTGATGGTTCACAGGTTTGGTCACTATGAAGGTATCAGATAAAACAAAACTGAAATAAAATCAGAAAGAGACAGAGGGAGAAGGAAGGGCTTTCCTTATTTAGCATAATGAATAGTAACTGTACCTTATGCAATAGCCTTGTGCTGAGAAGTAAAGAGGGGTAGAGCAGAGACAGGAATTGGGCTACTAATAACCTGTACGGCTCATTAAGGATACGACAGTTGCTAGGACTACTATAATCCTATACCAAGAGGGAAGATGGTGATGGTCAAACAAACTAAAATAAGGTAAAAGTAAAACGAAAAGGTCCTAATAGCTGTAGGAAACTAAAAGGAAAAAATAAATAAATTGATTTAATTAAAGCTCAGATTGAGGTAACCTCAGCTGTGGGTGTATATAAGGTAGAGAGCACTATACATTCACTCCCATGTACAATTCCTGCTGGTACTGAGACTTGAGCCCATGACCTTTGGGTTACAAGTCCAACCCTTTAACCATTAGGCCATGACTACCCACCCCCCACAACTTGTAGGTCATATTTGATTCATTCTGCTAGTACTATCTACTTAAATGGGGAAATATTTAGTTGCAAGCTGGGCAGTTGTGGCCTAATGGTTGGAGTCGGACTTGTAACCTGAAGGTTGCAGATTTAAATCTCAATCTCAGTAGGGAATGTAGGTTAGGGATTGAATGAACAGTGTTCTCTTTTCCACTTTCAATACACCCAGTTGCTCCCCGGGCACCACAGCGACTGGTTGCCAACTGCTCTGGGTGTTCACTACTCACTGCTTCTGATGTGCATGCAGTAATTTGGAAGGGTTAAATGCAGAGGACAATTTTCAAGTATGGGTTACCATACTTGGCCTTCGCTGTCAGGTAAAAAAAAAAAAGTGTTGCTTTTTAAATTCCTTTTAATTTTATTTGTATAAGCATTTCTGTCCCACTCCAAACAAAAGTGATGGTGGCAAGCAAAATAATTCCTTAGCATGTTTAGCTGAGAGAGAACCTGGTGGAGCCAATCCTTCTCTGACAAGAAACAAAGTACAATACATATGCATTTCAATAAATTTGACGTTATATTTCGTCATGAGTGAAGGGCTAACCTGCACCCTAGCAAATACAATTTTAGGCTATACCGAAGGATATTGATCTTGCAGTGTGTGCAAGATTTTAAAAGCACTTTATATGACTATTTTTATTAAAATGCAGCACTTAAGAATAGAGCAGTCATGGCTGGGACAGGGTTCAAGTAACATTCAAAGCTTCAACGTAATCATGAGTATGTTAAATCAACTTTCTTCTGAGCCAGGCTGAAGATACAGGCCTGTACATTCCAAGATGTGTTTCTAAGAATAAAACAATATAGAATTGTCAAAACGCCTGGTGGAGCCAATCCTTCTCTGACAAGAAACAAAGTACAATACATATGCATTTCAATAAATTTGACGTTATATTTCGTCATGAGTGAAGGGCTAACCTGCACCCTAGCAAATACAATTTTAGGCTATACCGAAGGATATTGATCTTGCAGTGTGTGCAAGATTTTAAAAGCACTTTATATGACTATTTTTATTAAAATGCAGCACTTAAGAATAGAGCAGTCATGGCTGGGACAGGGTTCAAGTAACATTCAAAGCTTCAACGTAATCATGAGTATGTTAAATCAACTTTCTTCTGAGCCAGGCTGAAGATACAGGCCTGTACATTCCAAGATGTGTTTCTAAGAATAAAACAATATAGAATTGTCAAAACGCCAGCAATTGGATTCAGCTAATGAAAGGATAAAACTAAGGCCGAATTCAAAATGGCAGAAATACTAGTATGCTATTCTGAATTATGCTCAAGTTTGTGTTCATGTAGGTATCGAGGACAATTGATCAAGTGAGAATCACTCAGTCGCATAAGCGCCAACTCATGCCAAGTCTGGAGAATCGTGAGGGTTAATGAAGAGGGAGGGGCTCTTTAATTAGCTGAAACCTGTAGAGTACAAAAAGACCAAAGGGCAGCATTTTTACTTTGTGACTAGCTGTTGAACAATGGCTGGAAGTTTGTTTGGTTCAGATTTTGGCAATTTGTGCGTTCTGTCATGCTGTTCCAAAGTGGAGTAATTTGCCCCAGAACCCTCAAGCTGTGATGCAGCAATTGGATTCAGCTAATGAAAGGATAAAACTAAGGCCGAATTCAAAATGGCAGAAATACTAGTATGCTATTCTGAATTATGCTCAAGTTTGTGTTCATGTAGGTATCGAGGACAATTGATCAAGTGAGAATCACTCAGTCACATAAGCGCCAACTCATGCCAAGTCTGGAGAATCGTGAGGGTTAATGAAGAGGGAGGGACTCTTTAATTAGCTGAAACCTGTAGAGTACAAAAAGACCAAAGGGCAGCATTTTTACTTTGTGACTAGCTGTTGAACAATGGCTGGAAGTTTGTTTGGTTCAGATTTTGGCAATTTGTGCGTTCTGTCATGCTGTTCCAAAGTGGAGTAATTTGCCCCAGAACCCTCAAGCTGTGATGATTCAGCAAAATGACCAGTGGCTTCAGCAGCCAGTTCAACAACAAACTAACCAGCGGTTTCCTCAGCAGTTTCAGCTTCAAAAGCCAGTGGCGCAGACAGAGCGCCTTGATAAATGTGCTGTAGCTGATTAGCAGCAGATCCAATGTGGACAACCTGGGATCAGTGGTGCCGAGTGTGAAGCCATCAACTGCTGCTTTAATGCTCAGCTGTGAGTATTGGATCAATACTCACAGCTGAGCAAGACACAAAACCCCCAATTGCTCCCCAGGAAAGTGTATGCACACTTGGATGGGATAAACACATGTTGGTTGGATGGGTTAATCATCCTGTTAACCAAACAGAAGTTAACGATTAACCCTTAAAAATGTAACCTTGTGCTGCCCCAGGTTAGCAACTGGAGGATGGATAATGGTCATGGCTTGTACAGAAGCCTGGACTCCGAATGCATGACTTTACAAAAGGTTGTGGAACCTTCGTTTAATAGTGTGGGGGAAAAAAAAAAAAAAAAAAAAAACCCACACACTGGAAAGAGGCATGTAATACCAGATTCTGCAGAATCAAAACACCAATAGACAAAGATAGCTCGGGGCTCTGCTAAGTTTATTAAAACTAGATTTACACGACCAGAGTAACTCCTCCACTAGAAACCACAGTCTGCTCACCAGAGATAGCCTTGATGCGAGTGTCTCTCCCTGAAAGAGAAATGTTAAGTGAGAACGCACTTATAAATTCAAAGTTCCTCTAGGCGAGAGCAAGAACTCACGTTTCCTGGTGCAGCTTTGCTCACAAGAGCCAGAAGATGGATGGCACACCTCTGTACTGCAGTGGATGAAGATCTGACAGGGAAGAAAGAGGCTCAAGTCATAGAATTCACAAGCAGTAAAATTAAAATGTTCAGGTAAAGCGGGGCATACAGTTTCCTGCAGAGGAGCCAGTGAGGCTGGATCTACAAATGTGAACATCTTCACAACAAAGCGCTTGTAGTGGGTTGGGAAATGAAGACCAGACGATCCGGTCACTGGAACGAGTGTGGTCAGGTAACGGTCATCCTGGTAAGAGCATCTGAAGATGAACGAAGGTTAGAAAGTGTCTCCCAGCAGACTAACTGGATAAAGATTGGCATTACTCACCCATCGATCAGAAGGTCCCACTGGGGGAGACTGAGTGGACTGGGGGTTGATGTTGCCCAACAACGTCCCAGCATCAGGACAATGTTTGGGTCAGTTCTCTCCATAATGCGCACCTCAACATACACAGGTTCCCGCAGAACTTTTGTGATGGGATAATCAGCATCACTAACACTGGAAGAGAAACCTGGACAACAGACGGTGAGCTTGTAGCATTTATCAGAGACTAACATTCACACCAAGTCATAGATCACTTACTCAAAATGACTATCCCTTGTGAAGGAACCAAACGGTCCAATCCCCACTTCATACGAGGAGGTCATTCTGTTCTCATACACCACATATCCACTGTCCTCCTGTGAACAGGAACAGTGTTAGCGTCAGGGCTCTGAACCGGTTCAAGGAACGAAAAGGACAGGAACAGAACCAGAAGCTAAAAAGGTTCTAGTTCCAAACAGAATCGAAAATTTGAAATGGCCATTAACCGGTTAAAGTTTAATCGTTCCATTTATTATTTGAAATTTGCTATCAACCGATCACGAATTCCAGTAATACGGCCTATGCAAATGTGACACTGACTCATACAGCGCGCTCAGCTGTGAACTCATAAGTCGCAATGGCAATGCACCAGCATTAGTTTATCCGGGGATAGTGAAAGAGTGATTCAACAGACCACACGCACCTGCAGCACTTCTGTGAACGGAGAAAACAATAACTATAGGCTTACATAAGAAATAGGCATATACAAAATATTTCACTTAAATCATTGACAGAACAAAAAAAAAAAAAAACAAACAAAAAAAAACACACACAACTGCTCCGTTGTTCAATCTGTTGCGCTCACGCCTCACGGTGCGGTTATAGCCGATGTGAAGGATGATGTTTTACGTCAATGCAAGTACAGAGCCTTGCCTATAATAAATATTTTAGCATCTAGATACGTCGCAAATGTAAACATTTGGAGTCGAGCCAAATGAGAGGTCGGTATCAGTTTCACTTTAAATTAACTAGTTACTGGATTGACGTTTTTATTGCCTAAACGCATAGCCTTAACTTTAGAGGATTTATTGTGGAGAGAAACTAAACTGCGTTTATAATGTTTCTAAACATTTTGCTTTAGCCTACATTTCTGAATGTAATAGGGCTAACAAAATGCGACGTGAGCCTATGCTCGATGTGGGTTTTTTTCCCCAGCGTGTCCTTTTACACTAATTCCGCCCACCAACATGTGATTGGGATGCTCAACACTGAGAAAAAAAAAAAAAAACCTCAATCAGTTTCAATGGTGTAGATGGTAAGGCGTGTGCTTTGACGCGATCGACCCAACTTCAAACCTGCCTTTTGTCGAACTTCTCCCCTTTTCAAATCTCATCACATCAGAAAGGCACTTATTTCCAATAAAAATGAAGGTGATCTTGAAAATGATCTCTTGTTTCTTTTTCTTAGAGTAGAGAAAACACTGTACTTTATTAGCAAAGTAGTTTTTAAAATAATGTTATTCACCGGTATCTCTTCTTCTAGAATGGCGATACAGAGGAACCGAAACATTAAAACATTGATTCTGCTCAGAATGAACGGATTAAATTTTTCGTCTTCAAGCCCTGGTTAGCATCCAGTCCATTATAAGCAATGCAGAATAAAACCAGAAGCAGCTGCTCACCATCATGCTCGTGCCACATGCGGTCACAGGGAACTGGTATATAGCAAAGTAAGGTGTGGACTCCACAGGAGCGCAAGGTGGGTTGTTTCCACCCAGTAGACGAACCGAATCCAGACTCAGTCGAGGCAGAGTAACATCTCTAGCCACCACTACCACAAACTGACCATCTCTAATACACTGGACGGTCACTGGAACAAAAGTACAAGGGCAGGTTAATTCTGAGTACCAGTTTAACATGAACAGAATAAGATTGAGAACACTTACCTGCCCTCCCATAGTAACACTGCTGTCTTTTAAAGCAGCAGTTGATAGCTTCACACTCAGCACCACTGATCCCAGGTTGTCCACATTGGATCTGCTCATAATCAGCTACAGCACATTTATCAAGGAGCTCTTCTGCTCATAATCAGCTACAGCACATTTATCAAGGCGCTCTGTCTGCGCCACTGGCTTCTGAAGCTGAAACTGCTGAGGAAACCGCTGGTTAGTTTGTTGTTGAACTGGCTGCTGAAACCGCTGGTCAGTTTGCTGAATCATCCCAGCTTGAGGATTCTGGAGCAGATTACTCCACTTTGGAACAGCATGACAGAACACACAAACTGCCAAAATCTAAACCAAACACTGAATGCTACCCCAGATAGTCACGCAGTGTGAAAACAACGGCGATCCGACGAGTTTGAAAATCGTGCAGTGTGAACTCGGCATTATGCAACTGAGTGATTCTCACTTGATCAATTATCCTCGATACCTACATGAAAACACAAACTTGAGCATAATTCAAAATAGCATACTAGTATTATTTCTGCCATTTTGAATTCGGCCTTAGTTTTATCCTTCATTAGCTGAATCCAATTGCTGACGTTTTGACAATTCTAGATTGTTTTATTCTTAGAAACACATCTTGGAATGTACAGGCCTGTATCTTCAGACTGGCTCAGAAGAAAGTTGATTTAACATACTCATGATTACTTTGAAGCTTTGAGTGTTATTTGAACCTTGTCCCAGCCATGACTGCTCTATTCTTAAATGCTGCATTATAATAAAAATACAGTCATATTATAAAGCGCTTTTAAAATCTTGCACACACTGCAAGATCAATATCCTTCGGTATAGCCTAAAATTTTATTTGCAAGGGTGCAGGTTAGCCCTTCACTCATGAGGAAATATAACACGTCAAATTTATTGAAATACATATGTATTGTTTGTTTCTTGTCAGAGAAGGATTGGCTCCACCAGGTTTTTTCTCTCAGCTAAACAATGAATACTTTTACCACCATCAACTTTGTTTTGAGTGGGATAGAAATGATTATACAAATAAAATTAAAAAGAATTTAAAAAGCAACACTTTTTTTTTTTTTTACCTGACAGCGAAGGCCAAGTATGGTAACCAATACTTGAAAACTGTCCTCTGCATTTAACCCTTCCAAATTACTGCATGCACATCAGAAGCAGTGAGTAGTGAACAACCAGAGCAGTTGGCAACCAGTCGCTGTGGTGACCGGGAGCATTTGGCTGTATTAAGAGTAGAAGAGAGCACTGTTCATTCAATCCCTAACCTACATTCCCTACTGGTATTGAGATTTAAACCTGCAACCTTCAGGTTACAAGTCCGACTCGAACCATTAGGCCACAACTGCTCAGCTTGCAACTAAATCTTTCCCCATTTAAGCAGATAGTACTAGCAGAATGAATCAAATATGACCTACAAGTTGTGGGGGGGGTGGGCAGTCATTGCCTAATGGTTAAAGCGCTGGACTTGTAACCCAAAGGTTATGGGTTCAAGTCTCAGTACCAGTAGGAATTGTACATGGGAGTGAATGTATAATGCTCTCTACCTTATATACCCACAGCTGAGGTTACCTTGAGCAAGGCACCAAACCCTCAATTGCTCCCCATGTGCCACAGCAAAATGTGTATGTGCACTTGGATGGGATAAATGCATGCTGGTTGGATGGGTAAAACATCCTGTTAACCAATCAGAAGTTAACGATTAACCCTTAATTTGGTACCTTATGCAGTGGCCCAGGTTAACAACTGTAGGATGGATAAGGGTCATGGCTTGTACACAGGGTTTCTGCAGGATTTTAAGCTCAAATTTAAGACTTTTTAAGACCTGCACAAATAAAATGAATACCATATGAGCAGGGTAGGTCAATGTCTATAGTACCATATTAAACTGTAAAATTACTGTAAAAAGCATAATTTACAGTTTAGATATAAGTTTTCACAAAAACAGAAAGTTTCATAAAATGCTAAACTTTACATTTCAGCCTTTAAACCATTTTTAAGAAAATCTCGATAAATTTCTGGGATTTTATCAATAACGATAATTAGACGATATTTTGCTGAGTGTGTTATTGTGCACACAATTAATCTTTACCAATAAGTTTTATGGGCATTTTACCTTTAAACCATTTTTTTTCTAAAAGTGTGCACCATCTTTTGAGTCAAATTCTTGGATTTGGGCTGTTACCAAGCAAATGAAATCAGTATCAACAAAATTTATCTTTGCAATGCAGAGGGAACACAAAAGCTGCATTAGAAGTGTCATTTAGATGCATTTACACACTGTTTAATGCAGCTCTGAGGGACATGGAATACTTTAACCTGCAGTTACAAATGCATAGCTAAATGATGTTTTGATATTTAAAAAATGTTTGAAATTTTAAAAAAATGAAAAGGTACCTTAAATGTGAAATTAAAACTGCCAGTAGTTGGCAGCAAGTCACTGTTAATAAGTGAGTCATTGCGATTTAACCGAATCATTTAAACGGTTGATTCATTCAGGAATTAAACACTGTCATGTTGCTCCAAAATGCGAAACAGTGCTGTGGTGTCTAAAACTTAAGTCTCTTAATATTAACTTTAATTTTGTTAAACTGTTGTATAAAATCAATATCACATTTGTAATCAT